TCTTGAATAAAAAGTGTGAAAGTTTTTAATTAAAAATGTGTAAATTAAATAAATTTGTGTTGAATTTAATTGAACAAAAAAAATTATAATTAAAAAATATACAGAAATAATATTAATTACTTAATAACTACTTATTTAATTATTTGTTGTGTTTTGACAGTTTATAACGTCATGAAGTTGCATGAAAGTGACAGTTTATATTTAAAAATGTTGAATTTAAATAATTTTGTTTTAAATTAATTAAACGAACATTTAAAATATTTAGAATAATAATTATTTGTATAAAAATTAAAGTAAAATTGTATAAGACAAATATTAAATTATTATTTTAATATTTTTGTGACAGCTTTGACAGTTGTGACAAAATGGCGCTAAAAACAAAAAGTTATATTGACAAGTGACAGTTTTTAATTAAATAAATAATTTGGCTTCAAATTTTTGATTAAATGAGTGGTTTTGAGCTTAAATTTAATTTCTTTAGTACACACGTTGTTAAAAATACAAGTTGGTCAAAATATTAGATTTATATGTTGAATGTCAAATATATAATCAAAATTTATTTGGGTAAGTTATTGGGTAAGTAATACGTTTAAATATACTTTTACACATTAATATTGATTAATAAAAATATATTTTAAATCAATTTATTAGTTTTTATATTTAAATCACAATTTTCATATCAAGTTTACCCACCAAATACTTGCAGAGAGAAACAAATAATCATTCACTAAATAACATAATTAAAATAGAGAAATGCAAACTAATACACAAAATGAAATTTAACCGAATTAAAACAAGTGCAACAATAGACACAAATCAAGATATACATGAACACTACACGAGACAACACAACAATTTTCACATTGAACGCAATAGAAAAAAGAATTTGAGAGAAAATGTCATATGGAGTGCTACCAAAATATATAACGAATTGCCAGACTATATTAAGATGACCAATGATAATGATAATTTTAAAAGAAAAATAAAGAAGTACTATATGGAAATTGAAGAAAAAGAAGACTGAAGAGTTATATATAGATATTATATTAATGAAATAAATATTATAGTCAAATGAAATGTAAATATTATATGAAAACTGTTTTTCATAATCTCTCATACCAGGCACCTCTGTCTGACTGAGATATGAAAATAATGTATATATGTAAATAAATAAATAAAACAAAACAACGAAAAAAAAAAAAAAAAAAAAAAAAAAAAAAAAAAAAAAAAAAAAAAAAAAAAAAAAAAAGTTTAATCTGTCAAGTGTTAAATCAAAACATCTCGATTTATACACTTATTTTATTATCAAACACGTTTTTCATCATCAATATTATTTAAATATGCTTTAATTATTGTTATATTATCTTTAAATTTGCCATATTTTACTTTTAAATTTCAATTTTCAAATTTTCCGCCACTTTTTGCAATCTGAAGTTAGTCGTTTTACCAATTTGACATTTTAAGTAAACATAACCTTTGCAAGAGATTGCAAAAGAAATAATATTGAAACTATTATAATTAGTAGTTGTTAATAATTATGTATAAATATAGGATATTAAGGGATTTTGGAAATGTGTTGAAAGTGTTTCCGAAATCTCAAAGGACATTTTGTGATAAAAAGGCTAAACCAGAATATAAAGGTAATAATTGATATATAATGTAGAATTTATTTATTTATTTATATTCAAGCCGTGATAAACAGTACCTCAAGCTTCTGTCATACTTATTCATGACATATACCTAATACTTAATATTTTATATAACTTTTGCTTACAAAATATTTACAATTGTACACTATTTCAACCACCCCTTTTCTAGAACTAATCGTAGAGAAAAAAAGCTCAATAACAACAATAGGCATCAACAGAGCCGAATCTAGAAATTGTGTAGACTCAGCAACAGCTCAAGAAATATGTCGAGCTGTTTTTGAATTTGAAAATGATGCTGAAGCTAAAGTTGCTGTACTATACGGCACTGGGGGAAACTTTTGTTCTGGATACGATTTAAAAGAATTGTGCCATGAGAAAATTAGGCCTGAGTTACTTCTTAACCCTGAAGGAAGCATGGTAATAATAATATACTCATAAATATATATATATATATATATATATATATATATAATTGTTTTATCTCAGGGGCCCACAAGGCGTCCAATTTCCAAACCAATGATTTGTGCTGTAAGCGGTTATGCAGTTGCCGGTGGCTTTGAATTAGCTCTAATGTGTGATTTAAGAGTTGTTGAAGACACTGCTGTTATGGGGGTCTACTGCAGGCGATACGGTATATAAACAAAAATAATTTTCTCAATAAATAAAGAAAAAATACAATTTGCTCTGTTTATTACAGGTGTACCATTAATCGATGGTGGTACTGTACGTCTGGCAGCAATGGTTGGAATCTCAAGAGCCCTAGATCTTGTCTTAACAGGTAGATCATTAAATGCAAAAGAAGCCTTTGAATGGGGCATTGCTAATAGGATTGTTGCTACAGGAACCGGTAAGGAAGAAGATATATATATATATATATATATATATATATATATATATATATCCAAAATAATTACATGAGTCTTTTACTATTCATTATTTGTTTAGCTTTCGGACAAGCCCTACAGCTAGCAGGTTGTCTCACAAAATTCCCTCAAGATTGCATGTTGGCCGATAGAGAGAGTGTTTACAATGCAACCTACAATGCAACATCTTTAAGAAAAGCTTTGGATGCTGAAGTTGAAAATGCAAACTCTGATATTCTACGACAGGCTGAAGAGGGGGCCCAGAAATTCCTTGCAGGTAGTAAAATATATATATATATATATATATATATATATATATATATATAGGTAGTATAGATTACAAAATAGTATGAATATTTTTATCAATTATATTTTTTTACCTCTAGGTCATGGTCGTCATGGTAAATTTTATGATATAACAGAAAAGCTTATTCCAGATTGGGAACAAGAAGAAATTAAAATAGAAAAGGAGCTGGGAAAAGAATTGCAAAAGGAGCAGAAGAAATAAAAATTATGTGATCTGTTTATATTAATTGGCTAAGAAAATGTTAAAGAGACTGCTTATTAATTTGTATTATTAATATTTAATAATGTTATGTATGTATGTATGCTTTTTGTTAACTAAAAATAAAATGTATATGTATTAACAAATTACATGCTTCTTGTAATTTTTCTGAAAATGGTGTAAACTATATGAAAATGTTAAACTAAAAAAACTTTCTCGAAAACGTTGTAAACTGTATGAGCATGTTGTCAATAGATTCAATTGCAATTTTAAAGTATACCGAGTTGCTGTAGAACTATATGATGTTAGAAAATATTGTAGATTATTTAATTTTAAACAAATTTGCAAAATATTTCATTAAATTTAAACGTACGGTTTAAAATTTACAACAGATATAATAAATAAATGCATGAAAGGGTTGCACAATATATGAAGTGCAAGTGGATTGATACTATATGTTCAGAGGTAATTTTGAAGTATATCGAGTTGCTTTAGGGCATTATGATATTAGACAATATTGTAGATTATTTAACTTTTTCGCAAATGTTGTAAACTGTATGAAAATGTTAAGAACTTTCTCGATAGCGTCATAAACTGTCTGAAAATGTTGTAAACTGTATGAGAATGTTGTAAACTATTTTAAAATGTTGTAAGCTGTATGAGAATGTTGTCGACTGTGTGAGATAGTTGTAGATTTGTGTGAGAATGTTGTGAACTGTATGAGAATGTTGTAAGCTGTATAAAAATGTTGTAAACTATCTGAAAATGTTGAGAACTTTCTCAAAATGTTGTAAGAGCTGTATAAGAATGTCATAAACTGTCTGAAAATATTGTAAGTAATCTAAAAATGTTGCAAATTATTTACAATTTTCATAATATGTTTTAAAGATTGTCTAAAAATGTTATCTAACATTGTCTTGATGATTGTCTAAAAGTGTCTTGACAAAATTTTCAAACAATTTACAAAATTTTCAGAGAATCTACAAAATTTATATACAATTTGCAATATTTTCAAACCAATTACAATTTGTGTGTGAAAAAAAAATGGCAAAAAAATAAACTTTTTCTTGTGAAAATTCAGAGACAAATGGAAAGTAAGAAAAACAAAATTTTATTAACTTCCCGTAGGGTAAGTTATAGTAATGGGCCGAAAATCGAAAATGAAATTTTTTTCATTTCTCGATGTTTTGAAGGTTTCTGAACATTTTACTGGCATACCTCAGAAAAAATGGATGTGTGTATGTGTATGTGTGTGTGTGTGCGGATACAAATTTTCGTCGACGATTTCGGGAACACGGATAAAGCGATTTGAATAATTTAAAAAACACTCGATTCGTATTCGTATTGATAAGGAGACGTGCTGATTAGTTTTTGGCGAAGGCAGGTCTAGCCGTTCCGAAGATATGGAGCAAAAAGTGCCAAAAACGGTAACTCAGATTTGACATTTTCAAACAGTTTACAAAATTTTCAGATTATCTACAACATTTATATACAATTTGCAAAATTTTCAGATCAGTTATAATTTATGTGTAAGTTGTGGCAAAAATATAAACTTTTTCTATGAAAATTAAGAGACAAATGGAAAGTAAGAAAAGCAAAATTTAATTCAAAGTAAGTCTGTACTCTTAGTGTTATAAAAGCAAAAAAAAAATTTTTCCTATTCAAATTTAAAAATTCCGCCTAAACAACACTTGATTATTTGCACAGTTCTCTCTAGTTCCAGCCAATCAGAAAGCAGTATTCTGCCATGTGACATCTCTACCCTAATGCGAACCAATGAGAAAATAGTATTACGTCACGTGATACGTTTCTTTTTGGCTGCTGTGGTATGAATATAAAATTGTGTTCATTGTGAATTTTGTATTCATTAAGTGCGGACGTTTTGAGTGTTTTTATAACTATTTATATTCTTATATTTAGTAAAATCGTACTAATTGTTTAATATTATAATATAAAAATAAATTTAATATTATAATTATAAAAATGAATTCCTATTACGAAAAATCGCCTGAAGACGTTTGCAAAAGTGCAGTTGAAGATCTTAGAGATGATGGGTGCTTTTATAGAAATGAAACAAATCAGGTGAGTAATAGAATAGTTATTTAAATATAATTATATATATATATATATATATAAGAGAATGAGACAACATGAATTAAGCGTCACTCATCATAAAAGCCGAAATTTCCAAAGTACTCTTGTTCAGCATTCCATCGAAAACTCACATAATTTCACCTTTGAACCCAATATTTTATATAGAGAGGATTGTACTTTTAAAAGACTTTTTTCTGAAAGCAGTTTAATCTTTTTGAATTCGTCAAAAAGTGTTAATAAAAGATCAGATCACAATATCATTCATGACTCATATTTAAATTTTTTAAACCTGATTAAAAATAATTAATCCTAATAGTTTTTGAATATGTGTATATATATACATGTATATATGTTATAATATATGTACATCCATATATATGCTTATATGTATGTTTTTGGGTATACACTATACACATACACTTGCATATGTGTTCATGTGTATAATTGTGGATACATTAATATATAGATGTGTGCATATGTATGTATGAGTATGTAGGTGTGCATATACATGTTCATGTATGTATGTATATATATATATATATATATATATATATACATAATATTTCTCAACATTTACTAAAGCAATATTTTTCCTTTTTTCGTAAATTACCAAACAAGAGCCATAAAAAATCATTTTTGCCAAGAGTTCCGTGCTTTGTCCTTTACATCTGGCAGACAGAAATCCATATCAGTGTGTTTAAGTCTTGTGTAGTCGTAACATCTACAAATATCTTCCAAAAAAATCGAGTGTTTTTAACAAAAAAATATTAGTGATATGGATATATAAATTATTACAGGTAAATAATTTTCGCTTCTCAATTTTATATAAAACCTTTTTTAGTTAAGTCTTATTACTATCTATCCGGTACATAATCCATTCCTTTATAACAAAATTTTTTTCTAATTAATCTGTATTGACCATTGTTAATTAATGTTAATCAGTATTTTAAAAAACATTGTATTTGACAGAATAAACCTGATGATGGAACGTACCTAGTTCCGAAACGTCGTATTAAACATCTTCAAAAAACAAATTGTTTTTTATTATTGGATTTACTGTTCGGAAAAGAAACAATCAATATATTGAAAAAATCCAGGACTTATCTATTGAATATATATATATATATATATATATATATATATATATATATATAATTAAAGTAATCAAATAGTTATTAATAGCAATAACTAGTTGTAAGTAGCATTTTGCCTTAAGGCAAGTTGCACAAACTTCCCAATACCTATTATACATATAATCAACTTAATCAATAAAGATTGCGATATACAGGTATTCAGATAAAAAATAAGATATATTAATATATCTTATAAATTATTTTAATGTGTTTAACACATTTTATTTCATCCATTTCGTTTTCTACAAATGTATTTTATTTTATTTTAATTTAATGTGTGGACGTAAACCATAATCAGAATCAAAAAGTGAACAGATTATGGATGCGGTGCCTATAAAAATTTTTGCTACTGGTATTAAATTTATTTAAAAACATTTAACTAGTGGTGCATGGCATCGTGCCTTAAGGCAAATTGCTGGAACTTCCCGTACCAAAAATTATTTTTTTAAAGATTAACATTTTTGAAAAAATTTACTCTGAAAAAATTAGATTTTTGAGAAACTATAAATTTTTGACAAAAATTTACTTTTTTTGAAAAAAAGACTTTTTGAAGAAAAGTGTATTTTGAAATATTTTGGAAGTTCTGAACTTTTTTTCCAAGCAATCCTATTGCTTTAACTGAATAGAGACGAATTATCGAAGCGCGTAAGCGCCGCGCCGCCGTCTGACGGATGAACATTGGTACGGAACCCATAGGAATGTAAACAAAATTTATACTTATTAATATCTCTATAAAATATCTGACAATTTGATGTGCATATGTCTAATGATCATTTTTGACCGCGAAATGGATTTTTTTTTTTACTTTTAAAAATTTGATCATCGTGTTATCTTCATCTTGTTAATATAAGTAAAACCGGGTTACCATTTTTGGCACTTTTTGCCCCATATCTTCGGAACGGCTATACCTGCCTTTGCCAAAAACTAATCAGCACGTCTCCTTATCAATACAAATCGAATGTTTTTTGAATTATTCAAATCGCTTCATTCGTGTTCCCAAAATCGTCGACGAAAATTTGTATCCGAACACGCACACATACATGCACACACACATACATCAATTTTTTCTAAGGTATGCCAAAATGTTCAGAAGGTTTTGAGACGTAAAGAAATTATTTGTTTAAAGTATATTAGAACTATAGTCAGAATTAAAAATACAATCTGAATTATTTTCGATATACAAAACAAACTAAAAAAAAAATGATACAATTTTTTTTTTCCAAAATCAATTATTTTGTCAAAACAAGCTGAAAGTTCTTTCAATCATGTGAATTGGACGCATAGTTCTCTCAAAAACTGACATTTTTAGCACATTTAGCTCTGTATCTTCGAAATGTCGGGACCTGTCTTTGCCAAAATCTAATCACCTCTTCTCCCAATCATAAAAAATTTAATGTTTTTTAGATCATTCAAATCCGATACTCCATTCTCTCAAAAACTATTTTGTATTTTCTGCACTCTTTACTCAGTATCTCCGAAACGGCTGGACTTGCCTTTGCCAAAAACTAATCGGCACATCTCCCTATCAGAATGTTTTTAATTCAAATCGGTTAATCCATGCGCCCGAAAACGTGGACGAAAAAATGCGGACATACAAAACACACACACACATCCATTTTTTTTTAGGTATGCCAAAATGTTCAAAAACCTTTAAAACGTCGAGAAATATAAAAAATTTCATTTTCGATTTTCGGTCCATTACTAAAACTACGCTACGGGAAGTTAAAAATAATAAAAGTAATATTGCTAATAATCAGTAGCTAAAATTCAATTTTCTTTATCCATGAAGAACGACACTCAAGTTTCGCAAAATTATTCAGAAGATGAGACCGTCAATGAATTATTATCAACTTTAAAAGAACTACTAGAATCTTTTCAAGATGAAAAACTGAAGCAGGAAATCATAGACAACATTTACAATACTGTTTTAAATGCAAGGTTAGTTGATAATAAACATATAGTACTCAAAAATTAAATACTTATTGTAACAAGCATTGTTATATATATATTGTATATTGAATAATCAATTCAGAAGGTATGTGAGATATAAAAAATAAATGCACAAAAGAGTTATGAGTTACTATGCAATCTTAGAGTATTACTCCAGTCAATGGAGCATTTTGGGCCGGAATTTTTTTACTGTGCTCCAATTTGTATGAATTTTGAAGTGAAAACAATTCACTTCAACAAACAAAAAACGTCAGAAATCTATAGAAGAACTAACTATAAGAAAAAAAAATGTCTTGAAGTTTTTCAAAAAAACTAATACCTTTCAAGTTACTGGCCACTGAAAATTCATATATTTTCGGCGTTTGTCTTCAAGTTTTTGGAAATATCTCCTAAAATATACATTTTAATGGAAATCATATAATGAACAAAATAATGTCAATAAAACTATTAAAAAATCGGAAAAAATAATATTAAGCTAGATTTGAAAGAGCAAACTCGTTTTTTATTTCGTTCAAGATTTAATTGTTGTATTTAAAGCCATCTAGCGGCGAGGTTTTACATTTTATTCATTTCAGTGAAATTGGGTTTTATAGTGCTCAACATAAGCTTTAAAATGAGTGCCTTAACAAGTTTTTTGCGTGTAAAATAAGTGAGCTATCATGCAAATAAGAAGCATATACGATGTTACTTTTAAAAAAATCATATGGTTTAATGAGCGCCATTTCCACCAAAATTAAAGTTAATCACATTTCATCTAGAATTCACTTCATTATAGACATCTTGATATATTATAGCAGATTCACTACTTTAGTACAAACTATTTTCAGAAAACTTACGATTTTATAAAAACTTTTTTTTCCGATTTTTTTCTAGTTTTCTAGCGATAAAATGGCTCAATGTACACTTATTCATTAAGGGGTCGCTTTTGAACTTGATGGTGAGATGAACCTAATGCGAAAATTTCATGCAAATCGGAGCACAGTAAAAAAAATCAGAGGTTATACCCTTTTTTTCCTCTCCGTTTACTATACAGCGAGTTGTTCATTTAAATCATTCAATTTTTTACTGCATTTCAATGGCAATTTTAAAGTATTGTGGGATCAAAGTAGGCTTGACATCGAATCCGAGCAAAAGAAAAAGGACATGTCATGATATTTATTTTTGTAAATATTAACACCGTATCTACAGATCCTCTACATTCAGTTGCACTAAATTAAATACAACGTGTTTCCGATCACCTAGAAATAGGTTTGACGTCAAAGTAAACTTGACATTTTTTTTGAATTATTGATTCACGCTCAATGTGGAAATGTGATAATTAATAAATATATTATAAAATATTTGTTTACAAAAATAAATTTATTATGACATGACATACAAAAACACAATACAATTACAATTACAATATTTACAGGAGCGAATATCTCAAGATGCCAAACCCAAAAGTTAACATCGAACCGCAAGAATTTTCAATTGAAGACCAGGATTTTGAAATAAAAGAAGAAGAGCCTGAACATAAAGAAACTTATCAGGAGAGATTTATGAAATCCGATCTAATGATAGAAAATGAAGTCAATGAATATAGTGGCACATGTAATGATTTAGAACAGCATATGCCGGTACAGAGTCATAGTTGTACTTTTTGTTCAGATACTTTTACAGATTCAAGCGCCTTAGAAATTCACCAGAAAACGCATACGGATGAAAAACCTTTTGAGTGCATAATTTGCAATAAAGCATTTACAGGGCAAATCGATTTTGATCAACACGTTTGTGATTGGGAAAAAACTTTAACGTTAAATGAATCTGATGAAATTAGACAGGAGTTGTTTGAAGCACCTCATTATAAATGTAATGAAGGCACATGTAATGAATCATTTACAAGGGCGCATGATTTAGAACAGCATATGCCGGTGCATAGTCATAGTTGTACATTTTGTTCAGATACTTTTGCAGATTCAAGCGCCTTAGAAATTCACCAGAAAATGCATACGGATGAAAAGCCTTTTGAATGCACAATTTGCAATAAAGCATTTGCTGTAAAATTGGATTTTGATCAACACGTTTGTGTTGGAGAAAAAACTTTAACGTTGAGTGAATGTGATGAAATCAGACAGGAGTTGTTTGAAGCACCTCATTTTAAATGTAATGAAGGCACATGTAAAAAATCATTTACAGGGCCACATGATTTAGAACAGCATATGCTGGTACATTGTCATAATTGTACATTTTGTTCAGATACTTTTTCAGATCCAAGCACCTTAGAAATACATCTAAAAATACATGCAGGTGTCAAGTCTTTTGTGTGCACGATTTGCAATAAAGCATTTGCTGTAAAATTTGATTTTGATCAACACGCTTGTGATTGGGGAAAAACTTTAATCTTGAGTGAATCTGATGAAATTAGACAGGAGTTTATTGAAGCACCTCATTATAAATGTAATGAAGGCACATGTAATGAATTATTTACAGAACAGCACATGCTGGAACATTGTCATAGTTGTACATTTTGTTCAGATACTTTTCCAGATTCAGGCGCCTTAGAAATACATCTGAAAATTCATACAGATGTCAAGCCTTTTGTGTGCACAATTTGCAATAAAGCATTCACTGGGCAATTCGATTTTGATCAACACGTTTGTAATGGAGAGAAAACTTTACCGTTGGGTGAATCCGATGAAATCAGACAGGAGTTGTTTGAAGCACCTCATTATAAATGTAATGAAGGCACATGTAAAAAATCATTTACAGGGCCACATGATTTAGAACAGCATATGCTGGTACATTGTCATAGTTGTACCTTTTGTTCAGATACTTTTCCAGATTCAAACACCTTAGAAATTCACCAGAAAATGCATACGGATGAAAAGCCTTTTGAGTGCACAATTTGCAATAAAGCATTTCCTAGGCAATTGGATTTTGATCAACACGTTTGTGATTGGGAAAAAACTTTAACGTTGAGTGAATCTGATGAAGTCAGACAAGAGTTTATTGAAGCACCTCATTATAAATGTAATGAAAGCACATGTAATGAATCATTTACAGAACAGCACATGCTGGAACATTGTCATAGTTGTACATTTTGTTCAGATACTTTTCCAGATTCAGGCGCCTTAGAAATACATCTGAAAATTCATGCAGATGTCAAGCCTTTTGTGTGCACAATTTGCAATAAAGTATTCACTAGACAATTGGATTTTGATCAACACGTTTGTGATTGGGAAAAAACTTTAACGTTGAGTGAATCTGATAATCAAAAGCAAAACTTGGATACTCAGAGTGCAAAGGGTTCGCATAAATGTAAAGTATGCGATAGGTCATTATCAACAATTTGGACCTTGAAAAAACATATGCTTGTACACAGTGGCGTACGGCCGCATGCGTGTAAAATGTGCAATAAGTCATTCTCAACAAAAAGCAACTTGAACATGCATATGCTTGTTCACAGTGGCGTGCGGTCCTACAGTTGTAAAGTATGTAATAAGACTTTCACATATTTTGGTAGCTTGAAATCTCATATGAGCATGCACAACGGTGATCTGCCTTATAAGTGTAAAGTATGCGATAAACAATTCGCACATTCGCGTAATTTGAAAAGACATATGCCTGTTCACAGCGGCGAAAGACCCCACAGGTGTGAATTATGCGATAAGACATTTATACATTGGCGTAACTTGAAAACTCATAAGCTTTATATTCACTCTGGGCACCGGCCTCATAAATGTAAAGTATGCGGTAAGTCATTCAAACAACCGAGTGATTTAAAATCACATATGGTCACACACAGCGATGAAAAACCACATATTTGTGAAGTATGCAGTAAGTCATTCGCACGAAAGAGTAGCTTAAAAATGCATATGCTCATTCACATCGGGACTCGGCCTCACAAATGTAAAGTATGCAATAAGTCATTTACAGAAAGTGGTGGCTTAAAAAGGCATATGGTCATACACAGCGGTGAAAAGCTTTATAGATGTAAAGTATGCGATAAGTCATTCGTACAACGGGGTGGCTTAAAAAGGCATATGCTCGTACACACAGGTGAAAAGCTGTATAGGTGTAAAGTATGCGAAAAGTCATTCGTACAACCGAGTGATTTAAAATCACATATGCTCACACACAGCGATGAAAAACCACACATTTGTGAATTATGCAGCAAGTCATTCGCACGAAAGAGTGGCTTAAAAACGCATATGCTCATTCACATCGGGACTCGTCCTCACAAATGTAAAGTATGCGGTAAGTCATTCATACAATCGGCTGATTTAAAATCACATATGGTCATACACAGCGATGAAAAGCCACATATTTGTGATGTATGCAGCAAGTCATTCGCACGAAAGAATGGCTTAAAAACGCATATGCTCATTCACATAGGGACTCGGCCTCACAAATGTAAAGTATGTAGTAAGTCATTCATAAAAGGGGATGGCTTAAAAAGGCATATGGTCATACACACCGGTGAAAAGCTTTATAGGTGTAAAGTATGTGATAAGGCATTCTCACAAAGGAGTAGCTTAAAAACGCATATGCTCGTACACAGCGGTGAAAGGCTTCATAGGTGTAAAGTATGCGAAAAGTCATTCGTACATCGGGGTGGATTAAAAATGCATATGCTCATACACACCGGTGAAAGACCTTATAGGTGTACAGTATGTGATAAGAGATTTACACAAGTGGGAGTTTTGAAAACCCACATGCAAATTCACAGTAATGAACCGCGCCCAAAGTGTAAAATATGCGAAAAGTCATTCTCAACAAAGCGCTACTTGAAAAGGCATATGCTTGTTCACAGTAGTGAACAGTTCCATACATGTGAAGTATGTAAAAAACATTTACACAAAGAAGTAACCTGGATGAACATATGCTCATTCACAATGAGGAACCTCAAAAGTGTGAATTACGCGATTCGCATTAGAATTGTAATTACAAATATAAAGTATGACAAAAATTTGTTAAAATTAATTTATTAATAGTTAGCAGATAAATGATAAAACCCCAATGAATTTACTAGAACAAAACACTTTAATAAAAAAAAAATACTGTAAACAAATATATATTGTGAGTGAAAATGTAAATGAAAGAACGTATCTTCCTTATGTCTGTAAAGCACAAAAATTATTAAAAATTGTAAACAAGAAATTATTAAGGATAGATGCCATATACACCTCATTCGTTCATATGCTCATTCACAATGAGGAACCTCAAAAGTGTGAATTACGCGATTCACATTAGAATTGTAATTACAAATATAAAGTATGACAAAAATTTGTTATAATTAATTTATTATTTATATTTAATTTATGTCTTAATTTTCAATTTTCGAGTAGAATAAAATAAGATATAATGTTACAAATGAGTTTAGTATCTCTTTCAACAATTGCATTTGCAGACCATCAGACTTTTCAGAATTCAGACAAACTTTAAGAATATTTTAGGATTAATTGAAATATTTTCAGGCTATTTTCAGAACTATAAAGAACATGTCAAGACTATCTACAAAATATATTTTCAGTGATAAAATATTTTATTTGTCTGGAATATTTGTAGACTGTTTGGAATATTTGTAGAATGTCTGGGAATATTTATAATTTGTCTGGAACATTTGTAGACTATCTAGAATTTTCATTCCATAAATTTATCAAATAGGATTACCTATTTTCATACAGAATTCCAGATAATAAACAGCGAGAACACAATAAATAATAAAACAGTGAACACAAGAAAAAATAGAATTAAAGAATAAACTGATATAATATAACATAACGCGAAAATAGCGAAAAAAGCTACACGTAACCTATCTTTTTTACATTTCTTTTAAACAGCTGCACAAAACCGTCCATTTTGTATGGTAAATGTATGAAACCTTGTTACATAACTGCCACGTAACGAAGAAAACCGAAATATCTACGTTGAAAAGAAGATTACAACTATACGTAGCATGTACGTTTTATTAACGTAACCATTAAACTTCGTAACGATTAATCATAACCATTAAACTTCGTCTGTGCTACGTAGTATAAACTTTGGAAAATGGAAAACGAAAAATCAGGTAAAAAATAAATGAGAATTTGTTTGTAAAAGTACTTGAATGAGTAAACATTTTTTCAATATAAAAAATGTTTAGATATAAATGCAAATAAATACGTGTATAAATGTATAATAAAATTTATATATATTTTAATATATGTAATATGTACGTTTTATTAAGGTAACTACTTCGTAACGACGTTTCGGCTGTGCTACGTAGTTACGACTTTGAAAAATGGATAACGAAAAATCAGGTAAGAAAATAAATGGTAATTTGAATTTTGTAAAAATACTTGGAAGAGTAAACATTTTTTCAATATAGAAAATGTTTAGATATAAATGTAATTAAATAAGTATGAATGTATTATAAAATTTCTATATATTTTAATATATATATATATATATATATATATATATATATATTACATTCATACAAGATCTTTACATTTTAACATTACTACCAGATCTCTTCTCCTTGCTTCCAGCACTCGACAACCTCCTATTATTGGATGAACCAGATTTGACACTTCCCGAGGAGGATTTTTTGGTTCCCGTTGATGACAAAGATTTGCTACCCCTTTTGCTGGTACTCGATCTGCTCCCTTTACTACCAGAAAGGTTGGTGACACCTGATAAATTTAGACCAGAATCACAGACGCAGGCATTTTCTTTGATTTTCAATGAAAGTTCGTTGTATATTTCGTGGTTTCGAGGAAGCAAGAGGTGGTAGGATACACAGTCTGCATCTCCTGGGTAAAGGTAATATATATAAATATTAGAAATATAGTAATAGATAATATTTTAAGGTGCTTACTTTGTATGTGAACAACAAAGAAAGTCTCTCGATCCTCCATCAAAGTCGAGGCGTTCGTGAACATTGAAGTTTCGTTGAGATTTTTTAAAACTCCGGTCTCGGGACACAAATCGAATTCATCTAAAATAAATAAAACTTATTGAAGTAAAACTTCTTTAGGCGCGACATGGGTTAGCAGTATAATTCATGAGTTAATAAAAATGTCAGGATCGGAAGAATATTTTATCCCGTCCCCCATAAATAATTGTAGTGCTCGCAAATGATCGCAAATAAATAATGAAACTAAGGAAAAATCTGCGCTGCGTAAGAAATGATAGCTTTGGCTATGTATATTTTGTGTGTGATCGACTTTGGCTTCAAAGTGGCTTAGAAATATCAAATGATGCTCAAAAACAAATTCTTAATAATGTTTTTTTAATATTGATTCAAATAATCAGGTTGAATGTCAAACTTGTCGAAAGATATTAAATTCGGGTAAAATTGGGGTAAAATTCCCACTTTGTGTAAATTTAACGAGTTTGTATTTCCACCTATACCAAATTATCTACCTAAACTAGATACTGTATAGGAGAGATTAATTTCATCTAGGTCGTGTTTCATGCAAATTAGACGATTGCGACATGGAAATGGACTATTTGGCCAAATTATAAATGTGCCTGTTGGCATTAATAATATGGTTAATTCATTACCTCGTAATATTGATGATGATCATTGCATTAACGTTCACATAAAAAAGCAAATGATTCATAGATCAAGCTATGTGCAGGGCTTGATAAATAAAACAAATATAAAAGTATGGCTTCAATTTGTTAGGCAAGACGGATATCACAGCTGTTCAAGGAATGAGGTTATATCGTCAGCGAAAAAGTAAAAAAATACAAACATTAAATGAATGTATGTTAATTTTAATTACATGAAGTTCTTCAAACACAATTGTTACAGGATGAGTTAATTTGCAAAAACAATATTTGTTTAGGCGTTGTTTAACATAATCCACTGTGTGAATGAATATTATAGAATTTATTAATCAGCAATTACTTTAAAACGATCATGTCATATGTCAAGTACGACTTTGATTACATTATTGTTTTTAAATATTATAGATATTTTTAATGCAATCATAAATATATAATTTATAACTTATCATTATATAAATGTGTATAATAATTGACGACACTAATAAATGTGTGCATCACGAGTGTTACCATATTACTAATAAACATTCAGTTCAAAATTTTTATATTGTGACGAGAAGGGTTGAAGCCCCCTTCTTGGGGTATGCAATGGCTGCCAAATATTATATTTTAGCCTTGCAACCCCGTTACGAAGGGGTTACTTCAACACTCCAATCGCCCGCTAAAGTACCTGTAATTACCTGTGGGGGTTAGTAGCTACTATACGAATGAAACCAAGATTACTTTTATAACTAAATCTATTAAAATAATTAATAATACATTCCCCATGTATTTGTGGAACATGACCGTACTTGCATAAGGTCACATTCCCTAACTAATACCACTTATTCTTATATCATGGTATATATGCTTATGTGGAGATATGAGGGGAGAATAGCTACAGCTTATAATCTACATTATCTGACCTTTAAGCTGGACCTGTCTTGTTGCACAACACACACACACAACTAACACTAACGTATCCCAAGGCGTTCGCCTATGGGATACGTCTTCGTTGGCTCTAACTTCTTAATTGCCAGGATCTCCGGAGCGTCTCTCTGATGGACCCCAAGAACCAATGGATAGTTAGGGGTAGTGGTAGGGATGGTGTACCCTGGGGGTTGACGACCATCAGGCGACAATAATTATCAATACGACGATAATTATGATTATCGTCACAATATGATGTATTTATTTTTACTCAACTTAAATTTGCTACTTTATACAGTAGCAAATAAGTTTTACTTCAATCGCGTGTGATCCTTACGCGCACTCTTTTTTAATATTTACCGTATTTTTGTAGGCCTACATTTGTTCGAATGTACTCCAAGAAGACACCGAGTGGACATTCTGGATTGACCAGGATTGATTTTTCTATTTCTGGATTGGATAAATCTGAAAAAAGGTAATTATATATATATATATATATATATATTTATATTTATATTTATATTTTATTTACATACCTGAGAATATTACAGTTATAAACATTTATTTAACTTGACATTTGACACTCCACTATTTTGTTTTATTTCGTATTTTTATAAAAATGCATTCGTAATGTTTTAAACAAAATTCTTACTTATTATTAAAATCTCTATGAAATTTCTGATAATTTGATGTGCATAAGTCTAACGATCATTTTGGCATTTTTTACTTTTTTTTATTAAATCTCCGAAATCGCTGAATCTGCCTTTGCAAAAATTTTATCAGTCCTCATTTGTCAATAGAAGTAAAATGATTTTTGAATCATTTAAATCGGACGCTCCGTTCCCTTAAAAACTGAAATACCGCTTTTAGAATTTTTTTGCTCTTTACTTCCAAAACGATTAGACTTGCCTTTCCCGAAAACTAATCAGCACATCTCTCTATCAATAGGAATCGAATGCTTCTTTAATTCGTCGACGAAAATCTGTGTCCATACTTACGTACATACTACATACAAATACACACACACATACATACATTTTTTCTAAGGTATGCCAAAATGTTCAGAATCCTCTGAAACGTGAAGACATGCAAAAATTTTCATTATCGATTTTTGAACAATTAGAGTAACTTTTTCAACATTTAATTTAACTAGTGGGACGCATGGCATCGTGCCTTAAGGCAAATTGCTGGAACTTCCCGTACCAAAAATTATTTTTTTTAAAAAGATTAACATTTTTGAAAAAAAAATTACTCTGAAAAAAATAGATTTTTGAGAAACTATGAATTTTTGACAAGAACTTACTTGTTTTGAAAAAAAAAGACTTTTTGAAGAAAAATTTATTTTGAAATATTTTGGAAATTCTGAACTTTTTTTTCAAAGCAATCGTACTGCATTAACTGCATAGAGACACATTGTCGAAGCGCGTATGCGCTGCGTCGCCGTCTAACGGTTAAACACTAGTACGGAACCCATAGGAATGTAAACAAAATTTATATTTATTGTTAAAATATCTGATAATTTGATGTGCATATGTCTAATGATCATTTTTGACCGCCAAATGGCTTTTTTTTTTACTTTTTTCACTAGATCTCCGAAACCGCTAGACCTGCCTTAACTTACTTAACAATCTAAAAATTGTTAATACAAGTAAAATGTTTTTTGAATTATTCAAATCCGACGCTCTGTTCTCTTATAAACTGAGTTACCTTTTTTGGCACTTTTTGCCACGTACCTTCGAAACGGCTGGACCTGCCTTCGCCAAAAACTAATCAGCACGTCTGCTTATCAATACGAATGGAATATTTTTTTTAATTATTCAAATCGTTTCATTCGTGTTCCCAAAATCGTCGACGAAAATTTGTATCCGAACACACACACATACACGCACACACATACATATACGTACACACACATACATATACATATACATACACATACACATACACACAAACACACATACATCCATTTTTTCTAAGGTATACCAAAATGTTTAGAAGATTTTGGAACGTAAAGATATATAAAAATTTTCATTTTCGATTTTTTGCGATTACTATAACTTGTAAAAGAAAAATAGCACAAATGAAATATAAATGTATATCCCAATTGTTTTTTAAAATAGTGATTAAACCTGTGTGGATATAAAACATATTTGCAATAAAACAATCATTGATAATATTGTTTGTTTATATTTTAAAAATATAAAAAATAATTTATATTGTACAACTACTAACATTAATAATAATAATAATAAAATATTGTATAACATAACATTAATAAATAATTTTTCACAAATTTTCACTTCTTAATAAATACTCTGAGTGTCATAAATTTAATGTTGTGTAAATTCTTATATTTATACAGTAGAAGTCTTTTGGTTCGGAATGCACGATAGTCCGACATTTTTTCAAAATTTTGTTTTTTTTTTCAAAAATGTGCCTTTATAGCAAATAAAAACGCTCGAAAGCTATTAAACGTTTTCGGTAAAATCATTCGGAAGGACTCACTATTAATCGGTAATCACTGTGTCTAAGTTCATGAACAAAGTATGTTCTACGAAATACGTAGGCAAGAAGGATTCGGCCTTTTTTGTGAAAATTAAAAATGTTTTTGTTAAAACTTTAAAAATATTTTACTTATATACATCTTATACATAAAAATGAATAAAATTGGTAAAAGTTGGCCAATTCTTTTCTTAAAATGTTCGTTGAAGTCCAAGGATGGTTAATACGGCGAGGAAAAATCTAAAAATTGTCGGGAAAACCCTAAAAACAGCCCTTTTCTTTTTCACACACAAACGTTTTCGAACTAACACAGAATCAATTTGAGCTTTATTGCTATTATATCTTCGTAAGACACTTAGAAGTCAATATGAAAAATACTGATAAAACACCATCGTCTATTATGTATTAAAAACAGAATTTGACTTAATCGCTTTATGCTTAGATAAAATAATAGGTAATAATATACGTTTGGAGCAAGTTTTAGAACGAAATAATAGTCTGAAACTGTTCTGAAATTGTGTGACTGTTTAAATAAAATATCACAAGAAATTTGTAAGTACAGCTCAGAGGAAGTGCGAGTTTAAAAAAATTCTGTAAAAATCTGTAGAAAGTAAAAATTCTGAGAGCTTAGTACTCTGGATCAGAATGATTTAGACAAATATGATGAAAGAAACTTGGTAGGATTGTTTTCAAGGGCTAAATGGTCTTCCGAAGTTGCAGAAACACCTAAAGTTTAAATCATCTAAATCATCTAAATCAGTCTCTGCCATTGAAATAATGTACCATTATTGGAAAGGAAAACTTGCCAGAGGAACGGCCAAAAAGTGCATGAAAATGTGATCGTGAATATAAGCTGTTTTGTTTGTATTTGCTGTAGTTTAATTATTAACCGGTTATAAAAACAATTTATAATTCGGTTAATACAAATACAAAATTAAATTATCTAAAATATTGTCTAATATCATAAAGCCATACAGCAACTCGGTATACCCAAAAAACAATATACAAAGAGTAAAATATTTTTTCCACAAAATATTAGGTTGTCAAATATCTCCCTTCCGCTTTTTTGCTCTTGGTTTATAATACAAAAAGGCGGAAGGGAGATATTTGACAACCTAATACATTATCCAGGAAACTTGTATCGAATTTTTTGTATAAAAAATGACATTAAAGTCCAAAATACTATTCTAAAATCTTATCCAAACTTTTTCTAATGTCTATTTCTAATAATCAAAAATAATTTTCTATCAGAATGCAAGTCACTTAATTTGCTTCTGTAACTTTTTTTACGCCTCTAAGACTAGACGACAGGGTCGAATTATCAATTTTGGGCATCGCACTTCGTTAAGGACCGATTTATTTTAGTTTTTTTGTCTTCAGAAATTATTTGAAAAAAAAAATTAAAGGTACAACTGTTGAAAATCAAGGTGATAAGCTTAATAGTCGAAGGAATAAAGCTCTTTTCACACTAGAAGTATAAAACTTCTATTATTAGAATAATGATTTTCGAGGAGCTCTTCAGGACGCACCGTTTGTACTACAAGCTTGTAAATTTAATGTTATTTTTTAATAACTGCTATAAATGTAAAAAATACAAAATTGCCAAAACTTTATGTCTAATATGAGATAATAATAATTTAATGATCAAAGAACACATTTGTTTGAAGATTCATGTATTCAAAGTAAAATGTACTTTTTATAAAAACTTAGTAAGATTTTAAAATTTTGTGAGAAAACTTTTAAATTTTACTATTTTTTACTAAAGTATACATATTAAGAAGGAACATACTAAAATTTCATCTGTGTGCGTCCTGAAGAGCTCGCGAAATAAATTATTTCTTAAAAAACTAATGTGATCAAAGTATAACAAGGCACTTTTTATGGTTAGTTAAAAATATTATAAAATTTTGTGAGAAACCTTACAAATTTTACTATTTTGTACTAAAATATACGTATTAAGAAGGAACATACTAAAATTGCATATGTGTGCGTCCTGAAGAGCTCGCTAAATAAATTATTTCTTAAAAGACTTATGTGTTCAAAGTGAAATGCATAACAATGCACTTTTTATGGTTCGTTAAAAATATTTTAAAATTTTGTGAGAAAACTCACAAATTTTACTATTTTGTACTAAAATATACAAATTAAGAAGGAACATACTAAAATTTCATCTGTGTACGTCCTGAAGAGCTCGCTAAATAAATTATTTCTTAAAAAACTAATGTGATCAAAGTATAACAAGGCACTTTTTATGGTTAGTTAAAAATATTATAAAATTTTGTGAGAAACCTTACAAATTTTACTATTTTGTACTAAAATATACGTATTAAGAAGGAACATACTAAAATTGCATATGTGTGCGTCCTGAAGAGCTCGCTAAATAAATTATTTCTTAAAAGACTTATGTGTTCAAAGTGAAATGCATAACAATGCACTTTTTATGGTTCGTTAAAAATATTTTAAAATTTTGTGAGAAAACTCACAAATTTTACTATTTTGTACTAAAATATACAAATTAAGAAGGAACATACTAAAATTTCATCTGTGTACGTCCTGAAGAGCTCGCTAAATAAATTATTTCTTAAAAAACTAATGTGATCAAAGTATAACAAGGCACTTTTTATGGTTAGTTAAAAATATTATAAAATTTTGTGAGAAACCTTACAAATTTTACTATTTTGTACTAAAATATACGTATTAAGAAGGAACATACTAAAATTGCATATGTGTGCGTCCTGAAGAGCTCGCTAAATAAATTATTTCTTAAAAGACTTATGTGTTCAAAGTGAAATGCATAACAATGCACTTTTTATGGTTCGTTAAAAATATTTTAAAATTTTGTGAGAAAACTCACAAATTTTACTATTTTGTACTAAAATATACAAATTAAGAAGGAACATACTAAAATTGCATATGTGTGCGTCCTGAAGAGCTCGCGAAATAAATTATTTCTTAAAAAACTTATGTGATCAAAGTAAAATGCATAACAATGCACTTTTTATGGTTCGTTAAAAATATTTTAAAATTTTGTAAGAAAACTTTTAAACTTTACTATTTTGTACTAAAATATACATATTAAGAAGGAACATACTAAAATTGCATATGTGTGCGTCCTGAAGAGCTCGCGAAATAAATTATTTCTTAAAAGACTTATGTGATAAAAGTATAACAAGGCACTTTTTATGGTTAGTTAAAAATATTTTAAAATTTTGTAAGAAAACTTCTAAATTTTACTATTTGTTACTAAAGTATACATATTAAGAAGGAACATACTAAAATTTCATCTGTGTACGTCCTGAAGAGCTCGCGAAATAAATTATTTCTCAAAAAACTTATGTGATCAAAGTATAACAAGGCACTTTTTATGGTTAGTTAAAAATATTTTAAAATTTTGTGAGAGAACTTACTAAATTTACTTTATTTTGCTAAAGTATACATATTAAGAAGTAACATACTAAATTTGCATTCGATTTATTTTAGTTTTTTTGTCTTCAGAAATTATTTGAAGAAAAAAATTAAAGGTACAACTGTTGAAAATCAAGGTGATAAGCTTAATAGTCGAAGGAATAAAACTCTTTTCACACTAGAAGTATAAAACTTGTATTATACTCTTTGTTAGAATAATGATTTTCGAGGAGCTCTTCAGGACGCACCGTTTGTACTACAAACTTGTAAATTTAATAAGTTATTTTTTAATAACTTTTATATAATACCGCCCGATAGTCCGGAATTTTCGATACAAGACTTCTACTGTAATTACTTTTTGTTATGCAAAATGATGTGCCTTTTGAGGGCGCTTAAGTGTGTGAATAATATCACAAACTGTACACTTATGGGATCTATCATCTAAATCATCTAAATCAGTCCCTGCCATTGAAATTAGGGAAAAGGAATTAGGAAATTAGGGAATGTATCATTACTGGAAAGAAAAACTTGCCAGAGGAACGGCTAAAAAGTGCATCAAAATATGATCGTGAATATAAGCAGTTTAATTATTAACCCCACTGTGAATGAGCATATGTTGTTTCAATTGACAATTTATAATTACCGCCCGATGGTCCGGAATTTTCGATACAAGACTTCTACTGTAATTACTTTTTGTTGTGCAAAATGATGTGCCTTTTGAGGACACTTGAGTGTGTGAATGTCCTATGTACACTTATGGGATTTAACGCCACTGTGAATGAGCATATGTTGTTTCAATTGACAATTTATAATTACCGCCCGATGGTCCGGAATTTTCGATACAAGACTTCTACTGTAATTACTTTTTGTTGTGCAAAATGATGTGCCTTTTAAGGACACTTGAGTGTGTGAATGTCCTATGTACACTTATGGGATCCGGCCCCGCTGTGAATGAGCATATGTTGTTTCAATTGACAATTTATAATTACCGCCCGATGGTCCGAAATTTTCGATACAAGACTTCTACTGTAATTACTTTTTGTTGTGCAAAATGATGTGCCTTTTGAGGACACTTGAGTGTGTGAATGTCCTATGTACACTTATGGGATCCGGCCCCACTGTGAATGAGCATATGTTGTTTCAATTGACAATTTATAATTACCGCCCGATGGTCCGGAATTTTCGATACAAGACTTCTACTCTAACGACTTTTTGTTGTGCAAAATGATGTGCCTTTTGAGGGCACTTGAGTGTGTGAATGTCCTATGTACACTTATGGGATTTAACCCCACTGTGAATGAGCATATGTTGTTTCAATTGACTCTTTAGTGTGAATGCCTTATCGCACATTATGCATTTATGCATTAGTTCCTCAGCATGAACGAGCTTATGTTGATTCAATTGACGCTTTCGTGTGAATGTCTTTTTGCATGTTTCACACTCATGTACCTTGTCGTGAATGAGCATATGTCTATTCAAGTCGCCTGTTAGTGTGAATTTCTTACTGCATACTTCACATTTATGTAGTCGTTCACGACTGTGAAGAAGCTTGTGTTTATTCAAAGTACCCACATGGTTAAATGTCTTTTCGCATACTGTACACTTATGGGGCCGTTTGCCACTATGAATGAGCATATGCGTTTTCAAACTACCCGCTTGTGTGAATTTCTTATCGCATATTGCACAAGCATGAGGTCGTTCACCGGTGTGAACAAGCATATGTCGGTTCAGGTTATGCGGTAATGTGAATGTCTCATCGCATAATTCGCATTTATGAGGACGCACGCCACTGTGAATGAGTTTGTGTGTTTTCAAAATTCTCACTTCTTTGAATGCCTTGTTGCATAATTCGCATTTGTGGGGACGTTCCTCAGAGTGTGTTAGCATGTGTTTTTTCATTTCACTCATAAATTTGTATGTCCGACCACATATTTTGCATAGCAGACTTTCAGATTCACTCAACGTTAAAGTTTTTTCTCCATTACAAACGTGTTGATCAAAATCCAATTTTACAGCAAATGCTTCATTGCAAATTGTGCACTCAAAAAGCTTTTCATCTGCATGTATTTTCTGGTGAATTTCTAAGGTGCTTGAATCTGGAAAAGTATCTGAACAAAAGGTACAACTATAACAATGTTCCAGCATATGCTGTTCTAAATCGTGCTGCCCTGTAAATGATTCATTACATATATCACATTCTATTAGCTCCTGTTTGACTTCATTTTCTATCGTTCCATCAACATTCATGCATGTCTCCAGAAATGTGTCGTCATCTTCAGGATCTTCTTCTTTTATTTCAAATTTAATGTCTTTAATTAAAAATTCTTGCGGTTCGATTTTAACTTTTGGGACCGACATTTTGAGATATTTGCACCTATAAATAATGGACTTAAATTGGCATAGAACGAATAAAGAATTGCTAATGCTAATAATATATATATATATATATATATATATATATTTGTAATATTTTTGCAGCCCAACTGTCGAATTAAAAAATGATTAAATAACAAAATTATTACATATTTGTAATATTTTTGCAGCCCAACCGTCGACATAAGAAAACAATAAATAACAAAATCATTTATTCCATTAAACGTTTCGACACTTAATGTCTGTCATCATTCAGTAATCTAAAAAAACATAACGTAAATACACAGTTGATGATAAATATAAATATATAAAAGGAGGAAATTATACATACCAAACCAGGAAAAACAACAGAAAACAATTATGATGTAAAATTGATTGAACACTAAATTTGTGTAAAATAATAAAATACTATTATATTAACAAACAAGAAATAGAAGGAGCACATATTGCCCTCCTATATTTAATGTTATTGGTAGCAATGCATTGTGGGCACTGTTCAAGGTTAAAAGTACAACGCAGTGTGGACACGCACGTGTAGTGCCTTTTTTGTTCTTTTAAATCAAAAACTCCCTGTTGTTTTTCCTGGTTTGGTATGTATAATTCCCTCCTTTTATATATTTATATTCATCATCAACTGTGTATTTATGTTATGTTTTTTTTAGATTACTCAATGATGACACACATCAAGTGTCGAAACGTTTAATGGAATAAATAATTTTGTTATTTAATCTTTTTTTAATTCGACGGTTGGGCTGCAAAAATGTTACAAATATGCATCAACGTCGACAAAACTATCATATATATATATATATATATATATATATATATATATATATATATATATTAAAAATGTCTAGTAATCGGGCATAACATCAATAAAAAACATGAATTTCTTTCAAAAATTTATTTTAAATCCATACGTTTCGGCTGTAATCCTAGCCTTCATTCAGTGGAAACTAAAAATAAAATTAAAAACTAAAACAATTGAATTGAAGTGAAAAGAAAAAAATAAAAGGAGTAAATAGTACTTACAATTTGTTAATCTTAGTGTTAAATTGGAAGATTTTAATAATCCATGGTATCAGGATATGGTAATGCACTACACTATGTATTATAAACATTAAACTTGTAATTACGCAATATTTTCACAAAATACTAATTTAAAAAATCACAATTGGATAGTGTGTTGTTCGTACACTAGTTGAAGATATAATGGAGAAAGGACTTTTTAAAAAATATTTTTTACCAAAGTTCTACACATGTGTGGACTCCGACTTGTAAACAATTTTTGTACAACGACTAGTACTATTTTTACCAAAATAAAAACCCCTTTTAATATCGAACGACTTAGAAATCTCGTCTATCAAATTAATTGTCTAGATTGTAATTTAATTTACATAGGAGAAACAAACCAGAACTTAATGAAACGTTTACAACAACATAAAAACAATTCAAAAAATCCGTGGCAATTTAAAACTATGATTGCGGAGCATATTAATACTTTAAAACACAATATGAACTTTTCTAACCCGACTGTACTACAATTCGAACAAAATTTATTCAAACTAAGAATTATAGAAGGATCTTTTTTTTAACTATTTATAGTAAGAAAAATAAACGGAATGAACTTAACACGCTGTGCGACACAAATCTTTTATTTAGATAGTATTTCCAAATTTCTCACAAAACAATAAAAACGACGCGCAAAGTATTCGCAATTCGTTCCATACATGTGTAGAATCTTGGTAAAAAATATTTTTTAAAAAAGTCCTCTCTCCATTATATCTTCAACCAGTCTACGAACAACACACTATCCAATTGTGATCTTTTAAATTAGTATTTTGTGAAAATATTTTGTAATTACAAGTTTAATGTTTGTAATACATAGTGTAGTGCATTACCATATCCTGATACCATGGATTATTAAAATTTTCCAATTTAACACTAAGATCTACTAATCGTAAGTACTAATTACTATTTTATTTTTCTTTTCACTGCAATTCAAATGTTTTAGTTTTTAATTTTATTTTTAGTTTCCACTGAATGAAGGTTAGGATTATAGCCAAAACGTATGGATTTAAAATAAATTTTTGAAAGAAATTCATGTTTTTTATTGATGTTATGCCCGATTACTAGACTTTGTTAATACATATGTCAACATCAAATTCAGAATCATAATATATATATATATATATATATATATATATATATATATATAATGTTAAATATGAACAATACAACACTCAGATTTTTAACACACACTTTATTTGGTAATTACAGAGGTTTTGAGACCATGGTATGCCTAATCTTCAGTGTAATTTCAAAGACAGTTACATATATACTACACATTCTTTAATATTTTATTTAAATTACATTTAATTTTTGAAAATGCAAAAAACATTAACCATCTTTTGCAGAGCTTGACACAGTACTAAAATATGTGAATAGATATAGAAGTATTTTAAACAAATCTTAAGTATCGAGATGAAGATAATACCCATTCTGTCTTTTCATCTCAATACTTAAGATTTGTTTAAAATATTTCTGTATGTTTCACATGTTTTAGTACTTTGTCAAGCTTTGCAAGTGATAGTTGGTGTTTTTTGTATTTTCAAAAATTAAATGTACATAATTTAAATAAAATATTAAAGAATGTGTAGTATATAAGCAACTGTTTTTAAAATTACACTGAAGATTAGGCATACCATGGTCTCGAAACGTCTGTAATTATTAAATAAAGTGTGTGTTGAAAATCTGAGTGTTGTATTGTTCATATTTAACATTATATATATATATATATATATATATATATATATATATATATAAAGTGAGAGGTTTTTTTTCAGATGGTGAAATATATGGTAACATTGTTTCTTAGACATCCATCCAGTAATTAAAAACAGTTTTATTGAAGGGAAAATGTTTTTATTCAGAGAACATACGTTTCGGGTCTTGATTTGAACCATCTTCAGTGCTATAATTAAATATTTCAGGGTTACAATCGAAAACAATATAAAAAATACATAATTACAGACAAAAATAAGTAAAACCAATGTATATGAAAAGTATATATGAAAAACAACCATAAAATAAACAAATGTAAAGAAACTCACTATACAAATAATTTATTTATAATTATATAATAATTTTCAAAATTTTTGTGCATGGTGAGTTTCTTTACATTTGTTTATTTTATGGTTGTTTTTCATATATACTTTTCATATACATTGGTTTTACTTATTTTTGTCTGTAATTATGTATCTTTTATATTGTTTTAATTTGTAACCCTGAATTATTTAATTGTAGCACTGAAGATGGGTCAAATCAAGACCCGAAACGTAAGTTCTCTAAATAAAAACATTTTTCAATAAAACTGTTTTTTAATTACTGGATGGATGCCCAAGAAACAATTTTATCATATATATATATATATATATATATATATATATATATATATACAGGATGCTTCAAAAAAATGTATCCACACTCTGTACTTCCATAAAAAATTCATTTACCGTTCTACAAAGTTCAATTTCAGAAAAATAGAAAGCTGAAAGTCCTATGTAAATGAAACAAATAACAAATGTTAATACATCTCAAATTGGTGACCTGCAGCATCAATACAATTCTGAGTACGAGTCACCACTGATTCTGTATATCGTATCAAAACGTCCAATGGAAACTCGATTGGCCCCCTGCGTCCTATCCACTAGCCCGACAAATTTTGATCCAGGTAAGCTCGTAATAATTGTACAAGTAACCCTGTGATAGTGCGGGGCTAAATAATGCTACCGATAAATCCCTGTTCACGTTTCACCATCTTCTGAATCTATTCACAAAATTGCAACCGTGTTATGTACAGAATCAGTGGTGACTCGTACTCAGAATTGTATTGATGCTGCAGGTCACCAATTTGAACAGTATTAATATTTGTTATTTATGTTTCATTTACATTGGACTTTCAGCTTTCTATTTTGTCGAAATTTAACTTTATAGAAGGGTAAATGAATTGTCTATGGAAGTTCAAAGTGTGTATACATTTATTTGAAGCACCCTGTATATATATATATATATATATAAAATAAAAGTCAAATACATATACATATATATATATATATATATATATATATATATATATATAGCTTTTATTTTATATCCTTTATTCTTTATATTGAACAAATCGTGGAACTTCAATGTGACATAACCTCAAATATTTTACCTGAATAAATCCCAGCAATCACAAGTACTTCAACACGTGTACACTTTTATTTATATATATTGTATTCATTATTGCCTTTAGTCCACAGCTATTTGTAATGAGCAAATAAATACGAAATAAAATGCCCCAAAAACAATTTCTAAAATATTTTGTTTGACACTTTGTTAGTTCAACACAGTGTTGCAAGATAGTTGCCACCATAGAGACAAACTGTAGAAAGAGTTTCTAAACACCGGATAATATTGTGCTGAGAAAGCTGTCTGAAGTTTGCTATAACGCATTACAGAATTGTCAAATCTTTTGCACTGTGGTTTCAACTTTTTTATGTTGGATTCGCTGTTACGAATGTGCTTATTGTGTAGCTCGTTCATCTCGCATTTTTTATTCTTTATTCGTGTTTTATTTCATTACATGTTTTCGAATCTTAGGGTATGACTTAACTTCCTCATTTTAGGGTATATCACTTTAGTTATAAGCTTACTTTTATTCACTTTTTGCTGATTTGCACTTAGGTTAGGTTATTCTTTTAATTTCATTCATTGTTTACGGTATATAGCTTTGCTTATTCACTATTTTAAGGTTTCATTATGTTTACATAATCTACGGATATTACGAATAGTAAAACCTGTTTGTATGAAAAACAAACAGTTCAAGGAAATCTAGAATCTTGTGCCCCCTTGACAATTGTCAAAGGGTGTTTTGCAGATACAATGGCTTACAACAACATATTGAGGTTGATCACACCATCCATATCGAGCATGACATTTTCTTCTTTTAATCGTTTGTTCATTTTCGATTATAAACTATGTCAATGCACTTTTCTTTTATTTGGTATTCTTATGTAGATTTTCAATCATGGAAAAATAAAATTGAGCGGAGAGATATTACTCGATATGTAATAGATAAGTCTGGATACAAAATTATAGATGGGAACAAAATTATAAAAAGAAAAAAGGCAAAATTTCAAGGGCATCCAAAAAAATCGGAAAGGCATGTTGTGAATTCTAACTGGTAAAAATTTTATATCATAAATATTTAATATCATTTTGAAATACTGGCATATGCATAAACATCAAGTCTCATTATCGGCTTCATTATTTTAATTTTAATTCTTACTCTCACTAATGCTCTTTAGTTATTAAATAGATGCTTCCAAGTTCATTTACAACTTCGTTTTTTGCTAACAGACTCACGCGTTTGTAATATATTTGATTATTGATTCTCATTTAATATTAGCTGATTTTCACATATTTTATTTTTGTGACACAAGCTCTAACTTTTGAATTTGTAATGCTAATATGAATATTAATTAACAAGAACTTGTTTAAGAGATATATAAGTAAAATTATTTTAAAGAAATACTGTAGTCTGTATATAATTACTCGCAAAGCATTAAAACGAATAAGGAAGATTATGAGTATAAACAATCATGAAGCATGGATAGCTAAAATCGCTAAAATAAAAGAGCTTCTAGTAGTACACAGCATATCATAATACACACTTGCATTAACAATAATAGATCAGAATGGTAAAAATAAAAGAGCTTTTAATAATACACCGCACATCATAATACATACATACATTCACAATATTAGATCAGAATGGCAAAAATAAAAGAGCTTCTAATAATTCACAGCACATCATAATACATACATACATGCATTCTGTGTATCTAATGATGTAATAAACTTCTTCTCTCACAATTTATGGTAGTATTTGGTTTCATTTGTTTATATTATCATTTCAATTCTATCTTTCAAATTTCTAATGTGAATAACATTTATTAACAGCTATATTGTGGAGATAAGTTTTAAATTATGATCATACATATTTCTTTTCATATTATGGCAATCGGTTTTGAATTGTCAATATGATTTATTTATTGTTACTTTACGGTAATAGGTTTTAAATTATAAATATGATATTTATTGTTACATTATGGTAATAGGTTTTGAATTGTCAATATGATTTATTTATTGTTACTTTACGGTAATAGGTTTTAAATTGTAAATTGATATTCATTGTTACATTAGGGTAATATGTTTTGAATTGTCGATGTATTTTTTATTTATTATTACTTGGTAATAGGTTTTTAATTGTAAATATAATTTATTTATTATTACATTTATAGTGATAGGTTCTAAATTGTGAATATTTGATTATTTATTATAACATTAATAATAATAAGTTTTGAATCATAAAGAATTATGTTTGACTGGTATGTGGTTGTGTGTTATACTGGTATGTGGTACAATTTGTTCTTATTTTTTTTCACGCCATGCTTTACCCATTCATATTAACATTGTGTAAATAGATTTTAACTCATTAACTATTTATTGTAAATAACGGTAAATATTTAATTCACATTCATAAACAATATTATCACAATTATGCTTTACAATTATGCTTTATCTTTTTTTAAAAAATAGCTTTGTTTGAGTAGCAAAATTATGTGATCTAAAAGTTTTCAGTTATTCAATGTTGCATACTACAGTTTAAACTACTGTTAAAAACTGGAACAGTCCTGGATTTGAATAAGGCACTTATTCTGATAATAAAGATTGTGTTCTAAATTCAATAAATTGTAGTCAACAATATTTGAAGTTTTCAACAATTATATTGCACACTAGTATGGAACAGATATAAGAAACCTTGGTATTGTATCATACACATAGTCTTGATATAATAAATATGAAAGATTTTAAATGTAGCAGTATTTGGCTTACATAATTATACATTTTTGTGATCAAGCAAATTTGTGCATACAAAATAGTTCACGTTTACCAGTGTTCTTCAATTCATATTAAACCACAAAACAAAGATTGAATAACATTGAATAAGTGTTGTGGCGACGGTTGTTCTGATCTTGACATGACCAAAGTTTCGAAAAAATCTACCATAACATAACAAAAATCCAATATTGCAACAAATTTCTGACTAAATGAAAAATTATTACTAAACATCAAAATAAGAAATTGAGGTTAAGTTTCGACAGTTGCGACAATGTTTTGACATATATGAATGCTCTGCTGTTGGTATGCCTGCTCAGAAGAATTTCTGATTGTTTTGAATGTTGGTACCGTGATTTTTTCGTTTCAGCACTTTATTATCCGGTGT